TATATGTATTGTGGGAGTCACTTACTGGTTGGGCTCCATAATAAGGCTACTGCCGTGAATAATATAAATTGCAAATATTTGTACTCCATGCTATCAGAGCACCTCACAGTTTTAAAATAGTTACCGTATTTAAAAAACCCTCACTATAAATATTTGCCACTACCAGCAGCATAAATACATATAGCTTCAGGATTAAAAATAACCAAAAGTTAACACTAAGGACTACTGGTAAAGCAGATGGCCAGGCCAAGCTAATACTGTACTTATCTGGTCAGTTGGCAAGTTCCATTACGCATATGTTCAATATTAAAACCTGTGTTGAATTAAAGTGTGGAAGATATATATTTCTTACAACTTGAAAACACTGCAATCTTTTTTTTACTAGTGGAAATGTCGGCAACCTTTTTCTTTATTTTAAACTTGCACCCATTACTGTTCTTTGGCTACAAGCAGTCAGAGAAAATAGGCATGTGAGATATCAATTAGACTAAAAACAGCTTACCGGTATATGGTTCAGAATTGCTGAGATCTTGAGATTCCTTGTCACAGCAGCAGTCCACTAGGTGGCAATCCTGTTATGCATGGCAGAGTTCACTCTGGCTCAGTATTAGTGCTTTTTGCACCTTTCGGAGCTCTTGTATGCTGCAACAGCTCATAAAAAGGTAAAGGTACCCCTGCCTGTACGGGCCAGTCGTGTCCGACTCTAGGGTTGTGCGCCCATCTCACTTAAGAGGCCGGGGGCCAGCGCTGTCCGGAGACACTTCCGGGTCACGTGGGCAGCGTGACAAAGCTGCATCTGGCGAGCCAGCGCAGCACACAGAAACACCGTTTACCTTCCCGCTATAAAGCGGTACCTATTTATCTACTTGCACCTGGGGGTGCTTTCGAACTGCTAGGTTGGCAGGCGCTGGGACCGAGCAACGGGAGCACACCCCGCCGCAGGGATTCGAACCACTGACCTTTCGATCGGCAAGTCCTAGGCACTGAGGTTTTACCCACAGCGCCACCCGTGTCCCTGCAACAGCTCATATATGGAGTTTAGTCCAAACAGTTTGTTAGTAGGGGAGGAACCGAGTTTTCCATGGGAGATTTCTGATACAATATTGGGGCACGTTTTTTCTTGAAGATGTTCTCCCCATACATACAATGGCTTAGAATCCACATTGCCATACCCATGAATGTTGCAGTTGGGATTAAAGCATGCATAATGGTTGCAACCCTGTTCAGAAAATTGGCAATATCTCCCTAATGTATGATTATATAGCAACCATTCAGGACTCTAAAAGGAATCATTGGTCTAGTTTTGCTTCAGTAAGAACACTTAAAATGCTAAGTGCAACAGAAGATGTGGCAACCTGCAACCTGACAGCAACTTTACATGAAAAACTTCAGTGACAGCCTCAAACAAAATTTAGCTGGAAACCAATGTTGTAGGCCACGAACTTAGTGTTATTTCACCCAGTGAATTATATAATTGTGTTTATTTTTTAAGTCAATCATCATTACATATTTGAATTAGCATTCAATACTTGCAGATGTGCGTTTCCATAGATTCCCATGCATGATGGGTGGGTTGCAGTTGTGTTCAGTCTTTGCTGCACAGCTACTCCAAATAGTATGGGAATCATCTGTAGTTTTCCCCTTATGCATGGCTCTAAACTTTTGTGTAAACTTTTGAATCTTCCACAATTCCTGATACCATGTCTCCAACATACTGGGACATGATTCTTTCCAATATCTCACTATTACCAATCTGGCAGCAGTCAATAAACTCTTCATGCCTTACAGTCTTCAAGTCGTCATCAAAAACCATCATTAAAACTAGCTTTGAATCTGGTGTACTTGTCTGGTTTGTTACTTTATCTCCCCCAAACTATGACCTTTTCACATGGCCACCACATATGGAACATTGTTCTTCATTCTCTACACCTTTTCGACCCTCTGGGGAAGAGGATTCTGTTATTAAGTGTATGTAGAATGAGGTACCATTTGAATACTACTTTAACAGATTTTTCTGTAGTCCTTGCTGATACTGATTTAAAAGGTAGTTTTCTCCAGAGACTTTTTCAATTGTGCTCATCATTTCTTTGTAGGTCTTGTTCCCATGTTTTCTGCAGATTCTCATATGACCCTAGCATTTCCACCTCCAATATTTCATGTCTATCCAATAGCAAGACTTTCCTAAGGTTTGTGGCTTGAGCAATTAAACTTTCCATTAGCGTGAGAGGTCTGGTCACTTGAGGAGCAATTTCCAGAATGGTTATAAATTGTCTAACTTGATGGATTTGAAAGCAGGTGTAACTTCATTCAGCTAATTGTTCTTCAGATAGGTTTCCTTATGTGGCTCTTACACCCAGTTAAAAGTTCCTTATCTGGAATGGGCCAACTTCTTCCCAACCTTTAAAATTATGACATTTATCCCTGCTAAATGGCTGCAAGTAAAGGGCTCTAGATATATTTACATAAAAGGTGGGTTCTGACATGGTGGCTAGATTTTCCTCTGATAGGCATCTGCACTCTGAGCAGGAACTATGCCTTTTCCCATAGGACAGATGTGCCAGTTTACCTTTCTCTGCCGAATATGGACTAAGAAATTCCTATGCTGACCATGAAACAGCAACCTATTCTATGGTAACGATTACGCTACGCTTTTAGTCCAAACATCAGCTGTAGAACTTTGTTTAAAGTCTTGTTGAATGCATTATTAGTAAATTGCATTCAGAGTCCTCTTATATAAATGCGCCATTGGTAAGTTTAACTATTTTCTTCTGTCCTGGACTATTATGGAATGCCCTCTCCTAATCACAAAGCCCTGCTACGTTTATCTAAGCTTGTGTTTAAGAAGAATAAGATGGAAACATTTGGGCGTCAATTAACAAAGACACAATTTCATGACCAGAGGTTAAAATGCTCCTAGTTTGGGTTTTTCCTAGGTATCACCAGTGATGAAAATTGCAGTGTGTATGGGAAGGTGGTCAATGCTATGTCAATTGGGGATTTGGAGCTAGCAGTAAAGTTAATTTGCCATTTTCCCCTTATGCATCTGGGTTTAACAGTCATGCCTGGTGTATGCCAGGGTAAAAGTGGAGTAGCTATTTTTCTGGGAAAGAGATCTAAAAGAAAAGAGTTGATCTGATGTCTCTTGGCTTCCTCCACCAAGCTGCTGTTATGCCAGAAGGCAGCGGAGGAACTTTGTTCTCCCAAGCTAAACACATGGTGTCTCCCTGGTGTGAGAAGGGAAGGTTAAATCTTAAGACTTCAAGCAGTCAGGTTTGCAGAGATGCAAACCAGTACTTGCTCACATATATATTTAATCACACATTCTGAAGAGTGGTGTGTGTGTGTGTGTGTGTGTGTGTGTGTGTGTGTGTTGGGGATGGGAAGAGTAGCACAGTGCAGAAAAACATCCCAAATCTCTATGGAAACACAGGATACATATTTTCTCTCAAATGGGAGTTTTACATCTTGATTTTTTAAAAAGAGACTCTCAGATCTTTAAGGTCAATTTCTAGTACATCAGTACAAAGCACATTACAATCCTTTTGCCTCCCTTCTTCTCACACATTAACCACCTTTGGCTTAGATTTTGAACCCAGCTCTTTCATACGCCAACTGCTATACCTGTGGCTATCGTTATCAAATACAGCAATCAAATATGTCCACATTTGACAAGGTTTGCTGCCAATGAAACCTTGATAAGAAAAGCCTTGGCCAACCCCAAAATACTTGCTCCAATCAAGCTAGAGTTCATATGCATGCAAAAGCAGATTTCTACCTGAATCTCTCTAGCAAGGAACTTTATGAGTGCTGGGCAATGCACAATTCAGCTGTCAAAGACTACGCACTGAAAACCTAGTTAGAAAATCAGTGACACTACATGTCAGCTCTCTGGCAGGAGAAAATGGGGCTGGATTTGGTTTCCCTTGCTCTCCTTCCAGTAAGACTGGCAGATTGACTGTTTTTCCAACAGAGCTGTGTGTACAGAGCGACAGCAACCTGTGATAAGCACATGGAACCATAGTTGACTATCCAAGACTTTGCATATACAGAGTGCTTAAGTATTATTCTGGGAGGACAGATCTCAACAGGATTATTAGTTTTTTGATTGGTGTTGGTCAGTTTGTAACCGATAAAACAGCTCTGTATAAGGTGGCACTTGAGAAAACTAGAAACAAGTGTGTTATGCCTAGTGCTATGTCTTGTCAAGGTGAACATCTAGTATAGAGCTATCCTGCTGAAAAGGATGTAAAGGGTTTTGATTTAAAGTCTATAATTTGTACAATGCCTTTTTTGGTGATGATTGCTCTTCTTCACAAAGGAGAAGTCAATCAATCCTTTTATTTGCAAAAACCAAGATAGATTGACTTCTCCTTTGTGCAGGAAACCCAAGGTGCCTGCCTTGTCAAAAACCGCTTCTGCAGCTTACATCAGTTTCCAAAGCAGTTTGGCCTACGGGACAGAGATCTGTTGCTTGATTTCTTACATTTCTGTGGTTCTTTGGATCTTAGCTGAAATTTCTTGGCATTTCTCTCTTTTTTACACACACTACAAAAATGTGTGTGTGTGTCTTTCTGAAATCAGCCTAAAAACAAAAGTCATGTTAGTGAATATATTTCAGTGGGAAGTGTCCTATTTCTAGATGTACTTTATTGATAAAAGTAGATAGAATCAGCAGCCAAGGCTACACACAAGGCAAAGCAAATTAATAAAACAGCTGCTTCTGGGACTCTAATTGTCCTCGGAGCTCTTTCCCCATTTGTGTCAAAGCCATTTTCTTTAAAAACCTAACAGTTGCTGTTTAAACTGAGACCTTAGCTGAAAGCTCTCCTGCTAGTCTTGCCCCAAATACAACCCTGGAATGGATTGCCTGCCAACCATTGGACATTTTTGGGGGAGGTTTTAAAAAAATACAATCTTTTATCAGTGCTCAAAACCTGCCAAGGTAATTAAAGGCCACGTTGCATATACAGGATATGAATGGAGAGCCCTGCAGACTTTCAAATGTTTAAATTATAAGGAGCAACTTGCTTTTTTAAACAGCTGCCTTGTAAGAGTGTCACTTTATTGTATGCAAAAGGAAAAACTAAATTTACAAATTTCACCATCACAATACATAATACATACCTTATTCCTTTTAACCATAATACATTAACTCTAAAAAAGTTTGTACTTCCCTCCCTCCTTCTGGTTTATCTATATTTTCTTTATATTCACGCATTTGTCATGTTTACATTTTATGTGTCCTTAATACTATGGAATAATACTATTCAAAATTTCATTAAATATACATTCTTCAATTGTTGTAATATATTTGTTCAATGTTCTTAAATCCAAAACGAATGATTTTTAATAAACATTATGAGGTCTATTTCAGTCCCGCAAGTGTCTTTATTTGTAAAAAATTGTGAAATTTGTAAAATCTGTAAAACCAATAAAGATCATTTAAAAAAAAACAAAAACAAAGGGAAGAACTGATGAGGCTACAATAAAGTTTTCGATATTGGTTCACTAAGCCTTTCATTTGTTTAAGTTGTTGTTCATATTTATGCTTCTTGTTGTGCCTGCATAGAGATATGAAAGCTCATAAAAATGTGGAGGGGGGGCACAGGTTTCACCCTATTTTCACAAAGCAGTTCCCCCCACTCCCCCCCCATGGAAAGTTTTGGACATGTGAAAGGGTAAAGGCACTTGTTTCAACCCAGACAAACCATCACTTTCTAGACATCCATGATAAATATGATAACAATTATAAAGCAGCAGAAACTGACAGTGATATCTTAATAACGAGACTGATTAAACTTCATATAGTATTGAGTTTTGTCTTGCCCCTGCTCACCCTGTGTTTTCGCAGCTCCTTTTATGGAAGAAATGCCTTTTGTCTGCCTGAACGTGTGAAGGGCTTCTACTCCTACTCAGAGTAGACATACTGAAGTCAATAGGAATGAGGGATGTCCAGTGATGGCCATCTGTGAACGGAACGTATTTCAGCTGCTGCAACAGTCCTTCACCTTTATTTCTTCCCCCTATAGCCAACCACGTACCCCCAAAGTCTGCTGTGGAGGGTGGGGGACCCTCTGGGACAGGTTTGGTGAGGCCACAGGAGATGAAGAAGGGGACACTCACTCAAACATCATTAGATGTCACCCTGTTGCTGCAATCCTGCCCATCACAGATGGGAAACCTGTGGCCCTTCAGATGTTGTTAGACCGCAACTCCCACCACCCCTGGCTACTGGCTGGGCTGACTGGGGCTAATGGGAGTCCAACAACTCCTGGAGGACCAGATGTTCCTTATCCCTGCTATCTATGCTTGGGAGTAAAGTTATTTTAGGTTTATTTATAGGCTCTTTTGGAGGGAGGCACAGCCTCCCTCCCAAATCTCATTGAACTAGGCAGGACTTCCTTCCAAATAAACATCGATAAGATCGGGCTTTCTCAAAATAGATCATCTGAGTAGGAATTCAAAAGTTGCTAGACACAGGTAACTAGTGAGTGGGATGGATTACCAAAAGGTAATTGGAATAATAAGGATAAGCTTGCCTTTTTTTTTTTTTAAGGAACTTCAAAATCTTCTCAACTGTGTGTACATGTGATATATAAGCAGTGGGATCTACAGCCAATTGCAGCTTCTAAGCCTGTGGAGATGATGGTCTACAATTTTTTGCATTTTTAAAACGCATGATTTCTCAGTAGGAAATGAGAAATGTGTTACAAGTTGCTTGTTTCATATGAATAGAAATAATGTTTTGTAGTGTTTGTGTCTCCCAAGTTTTCATTCTTCCCTTCATCAAACAGAAATGGATCCTCTCACCTGCCAACCGCACTAGACTCTAATATGTACTTAAAGCATTTATCATCAAATTGACAGATTAATAAGGGAGATGCACAAACTGTATATTTAAGGCTGCAACCCAAAAACACATATCTGAGAGTAAATTCCATTCAACTTCCAGGTAGACATGCATAGGACTGCACTGTGAAAAGCACCTTGCATCATCCTTACCTATAACTATTAATCAAATATATTCATCACACAAATGATGTCCCAGGTGCTATGCAGGGCATAGAGGGGACATATTCTCTGCACAGACAACTTACCATTTAAAAGCCAAATCAGTTTGCTTATAGAAATGCTGTATTTGAAACCAGTGGGGCCTAATTCCAAGTTTGATGCTTAAGAAATGAGGTGCTAATATAGCTACCTTAACATTACCTCCCCCCCACCCCCAAAATGCCCTTCTGCCGTGCACAATGTGAAATTATTATATGCCAATGGAAGCCAAGCATGGGAGGCAAGTGGCAGATGTATTCATTTTTATTATTTAACCATCAGGAACACACTTCATCCCTTTTCAGAATTTGTTTATCTATTTAATAGAGAAATAAAAATAGTGCAACAACTGTGGCTCTCACTTGTCTAACTATTGGAATTGTCCATAATATACAAATCTGTAAGGCACTGCTTGACTGCTTCCCAGCCTGTTGAGTTGCTCAGCATGCACATTCTGCAGGAATAAGAGCTCCATGTCAAACTGCTGGGCCATTCATTATTAGAACAGCAAGGCCCTCTTCTGGATTGTAATCAGAATACGGTCAAGGAACAACCCAATAAGCACTGAAGTGCCAGCTCTAAGCTTTAGGCATTTCTTATTGCCATTTTCCTGCCTAGTTACCTTATACTAAGAAAAGTTCCTCTGGAAATCTACTTCTCAATATTCCTCTTTGACCTCTTTTTATTTTAAAAAAAAGAACAATAAAGCAATGTATGAATCTTATGAAACAAAATATTCATTCAAAAAATACTGGGTATGCTAGACTTCCGTTTTCAAGGCGGTTTTCTATCACAAGCATATAAGAAAAAGAAACTGTCTGTTTGCTAACTGTAGTGACAACGTAACCTGAAAAAGTACACACAACCAAACATGGTCATAAACCATGGTTTGTCAACTCAGACATCATGAACAAACCATAGTCAAGCTTTCTTAATCATGAATGTCTTAATTGAGCTCAATATAAACAAGCCATTGTCTGGGATTTTCTATCTTACCTTCGAATTCCTCCAAATTATGTATACATTGGAAACGTGCACTACAGTGATGAGGAAAGCAGTTTACTTTTAAGTAATACCAACTATAAATCTGTCTAGGATACAAGGCAAAGGGCTGTAGCACAGTGGAAGAGCAAATGTTTTATGGGGAGAAGGTCCCAATTTCATCCCCGTTTCCAGTTAAGTAGTCCATAGGTGTTGTCAATCAGAATACGTAATCGTAGCCTAGATAGACCAATGGTCTGACTCAATATGACAGCTTCGTATGTCCTAGAGCTAATAAGACTGGTCCTCATGACAGTTTTCAGCATAACAGCCACTGCTCACACAGGTTTCTAGCTGCTGACGCCATGAGTGGATGTGGTGGTTCTGTTCTGGCTGATGGGGCATGCAGAACTCTGAGACCACTGAATTTTTGTATGTTGTTAAGTGGTTTAAATGTAAACAGAACTTGGTATGTGCACTGGCCAGTATATCATCATGTGTGTGCATGGCATCAGTGACAAGAAGTCATACCTGCCAAACTAAGTACTTTCACAATAGTTGGTCTTCCAGCTGATCAGTTCAAAATTAGTAGGGCTACAACAGTGTCTTATTAACTATTTAATTATTGGAGGATACCACTCCTTTCTATTTTTCCTTATAAAAAGCCAAACATTTCAACCAAAAGCCATGTTTGACAATTTGATTATTATCTTTCAATCATTGATACTTTTGGACATTTTACAGAGTAACAGACATGCTTTTCTCCACCTCTCAGGACTAAATACCATAGCTGAGGGAAGGTCAATACTGGCCAGCCTTTTCAAAGACTTGTCATTCTTCCAGCTTTGCTTTACTATCCATCACAACCACTCATTTACTGCATTCCTTTCTTCGAACTTTTGATTTTGGTGCTGCCACAAGAAAAGAAAACATAAGCATTAATATTTAAAGATGCAAAAGCCAAAATGAATTAGAACAAGAGGGTACTTACCATTTGGATTTTCTTGTCTGTAGAAGGTTTTCAGCATTTCAACAGCTTCTTCAGATCGATAACCAGCTATGCACTGTAGAGATTGGAATATTTTGTTCATAAGGCCTCCCAGATTAACCAGCTTGTATCCCAAAGAGGTTATCTGACTCTTTAGTAGCATAAAGAACGTCAGCAGATGTGACTTCTGATATCACTGTGTTCAACTTCCAGGGGCAAAAGAAAATCCACTGAACAACTTCATACTGGAGTTTTTTTAAAGGCAAAGCAATACCTTTCAATAACAAAAATGGCTTACCACTGAGGGTATCCAATTTACACATGTAAATAGCACGTTTCCAAACCGTTATTATATTCATCTTGACTGGCTTACAGATAATAACCATAGTGTGATAGCCTGGTTTGTAGGGATAGCTTAAAATAACAGTTTCCTGGTTTGGACATTAGAAGCAACTGTGGTTTAACAAGCCTCCAAAGTAATGAATGAAGGCATATGAGAGAAGGGAAGTGAGAGTGTGCCCATAAACAGGCTCTTCTCATTCCAACCTACCATGGTTTGTGGAACAGGAATCTATGAGTTTGTGCCAAGGAACTTGCCTTTGGGGTGTGTTTTTCCCCTAGCAGCAAAACGTCCTTGACATATCAAAATAATTTAGTTATGTTGCAACTTTTTCCACTCACCAAATCTTTCCCTGTTATCATTTATTTCTTGACATGTGTGAGTGAAAGTGACAGTGCTTACACACATACACAAAATAGGATGCTTTCAATGAATGCCCTAATTTAAACGGTATGCACGCACATGGTGGAATAATTTATACGCAGCCATTAACTGCAATTGTTTGAGAATGGAAATCAAATTTCTTAAATGCAAGACATTTCTTCTCACATAGTTGCCATGATGTAGAGCTAGTGTCATCACTATGCTAAATGTCAGGGTAAATAAAGTGCCCTTTTTTCTCTTTTAAACAAAATTACAACCAATTCTGTTCCTATAATGGTTTCCAACTATTCTGATAAACCTTCATCCATACAAGTGTATTATTTATTAAGTTTACAACCTGCTCTTGTTTTTAAAGGGAGGATACATAAGATTTATTGTGGTCTTTCACCCATGGACTACTCAGATCCACTTAGCTTCACCAATGCTGCACAATTAAGTGCTCCCTAACCATTCAATGAATCCATTTTGATTGTAGCTAATTTTACAATTTATGGTTTGCATTCCCTCACACCTCAAACAAGGATGAATTATAATCTTCTCCATAAATAAAGGAGCCCTGAAGATGCTATATTATGGAAGAACACTCCAGCCTGCTATTTTCTGTTTGGGGTGGGGGGGTGGGAAGAGAGTGGCTGCTCTAGATCCTAAAGCTATTTGCAGTCTCTCTGAATGTTGATTCAGCACCAAACTATCACTGCAGAAATCCTGACACAATGGTGCTAAAGATGAATTTCAGTGGTAGTTTCAGAATTAAAGTACTGACAACGATGCAGCTTTAGAATAATTTCTCTCTGGATAAGGTTGTATCATCAACCTGCACTTGGTTCTTCTACACCAGTGGTGGCCAAACCTGGCCCTCCAGCGGTTTTGGGACTACAATTCCCATCATCCCTGACCACTGGTCCTGTTAGCTAGGGATGATGGAAGTTGTAGCCCAAAAACAGATGGAGGGCCAAGTTTGGCCACTGATGTCTACACACTTTCATTTTTGTTGTTGTTTTTTAAAAACACACACATCCGTGACAAGTATTTCACCTGGAATGGTTCCCCTGTGTCCGTTAAGGTAGCAGAAGAGATGTTCAAAACCGAACCACAGCCTCCGAATCGTTCATTCTGGCAGCCATATACAACCAGTGGGATTTATATATGTAAGTTAAGAAAAGAAAGAGTATAGAATAGAATTACCCTCATTTAATAGGCTATATTGTTGTGCTGGTCTCAAACCCATTCCTCCCTCCTTTCTCATGTATGATATAAATTCCTCTTTTCCACAGACACACTACTGCCTGGTCATATCTCTGGGGCATATCTTCCCCCACTTAATTCAACTCCTTTGCTGCTAATTCACTGTTTCCCTCTGCCCACAATCTGAGAGCAATAACTACCACTACTGTATCCTTTCCAAATTTCCTAACCTAGACTTGCCATACGTCAGGAAAATTCCTGACATGCCCTGGTTTTTGGGTGTAAAAATTGCGTTGGGTGAATTGCCAAAATGTCAGGGAAAACCCAGATGAATGGCAATGTGTGTGTGGGGGGGGGGGGAAGCAGTGGAAACAGCTCCAAAAGCTTAAAGTCACTATTGGGGGGGGGAGGTTTCCCCCCAAAAAAGCTCAACAATGTTGGTTTGTTTCCAAAAAAAAGCTAAACAATTTTGGGGTCCTCAAGAGTAAACCAGCTGGGTGGGCAGGTTATGCTTGCTCAACAACTTTGCGGGTGTCAGGAATTTTACTTATTGAAATGCAGCAACCCTATCCTAACCCAGAGCAGAGATGGCACAATACACTTTGGCCCCTGAGGCACAAGCACCACCCAGGGAAGGTAATACAGTGGTACCCCGCAAGACGAACGCCTCGCGAGACGAAAAACTCAAACCGCTTCTCAGCTTTTACAATCAGTTTCCAAAGCAGTTTGGCCTACGGGACAGAGATCTGTTGCTTGATTTCTTACATTTCTGTGGTTCTTTGGATCTTAGCTGAAATTTCTTGGCATTTCTCTCTTTTTTACACACACTACAAAATGTGTGTGTTGTGTCTTTCTGAAATCAGCCTAAAAAACAAAAGTCATGTTAGTGAAGTATATTTCAGTGGAAGTGTCCTATTTCTAGATTACTTTATTGATAAAAGTAGATAGAATCAGCACCAGGCTACACACAAGGCAAAGCAAAATTAATAAAACAGCTGCTTCTGGACTCTGAATTGTCCTCGGGAGCTCTTGCCCCATTTGTGTCAAAGCCATTTCTTTAAAACCTAAACAGTTGCTGTTAAACTGAGACTTAGCTGAAAGCTCTCCTGCTAGTCTTGGCCCCAAATACAACCCTGGAATGGATTGCCTGCCAACCATTGGACATTTTGGGGGAGGTTTTAAAAAAATACAATCTTTTTGCAGTGCTCAAACTGCCAAGGTAATTAAAGGCCACGTTGCAATACAGGATAATGAATGGAGAGCCTGCAGACTTTCAAATGTTTCAAAATTATAAGGAGCAAACTTGCTTTTTAAACAGCTGCCATCCTTGTAAAGTTGTCACTTTAATTGTATAGCAAAAAGAAAACTAAATTTACAAATCTTCACCATCACAATAACATAATACATACCTTATTCCTTTTAACCATAATACATTAACTCTAAAAAGTTTGTACTTCCCTCCCTCCTTCTGGTTTATCTATATCTTCTTTATATTCACGCATTTGTCATGTTTTACATTTTATGTGTCCTTAATATATGGAATATCCTATTCAAAATTTCATTAAATATACTTCTTCAATTGTTGTAATGCTGCACTACAGGTGATTCATTTATTTGATTATCAATTTCTTAAATCTCCAAAGAATGATATTTAATAAACATATGAGGTGCTATTTCAGTCCCCGCAAGTGTCTTTATTTGTACAAAAATTGTGAAATTGTAAAACTGAAAACCAATAAAGATCATTAAAAAACCAAAAAAAGGAAGAACTGATGAGGAGCTACAATAAAGTTTTCGATATTGGTTCACTAAGCCTTTCATTTGTTTAAGTTGTTTGTTTCATATATATGCTTCTTGTTGTGCCTGCATAGAGATATGAAAGCTCATAAAAAATGTGGAGGGGGGCACAGGTTTCACCCTATTTTCACAAAGCAGTTCCCCCACTCCCCCCGCCCATGGAAAGTTTTTGGACATGTGAAAGGGTAAAGGCACTTGTTTCAACCCAGCAAACCCATCATTTTCTAGACATCTCATGAAATAATATAAATTATAAAGCAGCAGAAACTGACAGTGATATCTTAATACTGAGACTGATTAAACTTCTATAGTATTGAGTTTTGTCTTGGCCCCTGCTCACCCGTGTTTTCGCAGCTCCTTTTATGGAAGAAGCCTTTTGTCTGCCTGAACGTGTGAAGGGCTTCTACTCCTACTCAGAGTAGACATACTGAGTCATAGGAATGAGGGATGTCCAGTGATGGCCATCTGGAACGGAACGTATTTCAAGCTGCTGCAACAGTCCTTCACCTTTATTTTTCCCCCTATAGCCAACACGTACCCCCAAAGTCTGCTGTGGAGGGTGGGGGACCCCTCTGGGACAGGTTTGGGGAGGCACAGAGATAAGAAGACGGGGACACTCCAAACATCATTAGATGTCACCTCTGTTGCTGCAATCCTGCCCATCACAGATGGGAAACCTGTGGCCCTTCAGATGTTGTTAGACCGCAACTCCCACCATCCCCTGCTACTGGCTGGCGCTGACTGGGGCTAATGGGAGTCCAACAACTCCTGGAGGACCAGATGTTCCTTATCCCTGCTATCTATGCTTGGGAGTAAATTATTTAGGTTTATTTATAGGCTCTTTTGGAGGGAGGCACAGCCTCCCCCAAATCTCATTGAACTAGGCAGGACTTCCTTCCAAATAAACATCGATAAGTATCGGGCTTTCTCAAAATAGATCATCTGAGTAGGAATTCAAAAGTTGCAGACAACAGGTAACAGTGAGTGGGATGGATTACCAAAAGGTAATTGGAATAATAAGGATAAGCTTGCTTTTTTTTTTTTAAGGAACTCAAAACTTCTCAATGTGTGTACATGTGATATATAAGCAGTGGGAACTACAGCCAATTGAGCTTCTAAGCCTGTGGAGATGATGGTCTACATTTTTGCATTTTTTAAAACAAGAATGTTCTCAGTAAG